AGCCAGAAATTACACAGTCCCGGATCTGGTGACGAGGATGAAGCCATCTGTAATCCTTATACTAGGCAGACATAACATAGACAGCTGATCCAAGCAAATAGCAAATGTTTAAATAAAAATATTTGTTACAGTGAAGCACAGATTATTATTAATCTCCCCTAAAATACCCCAAATACTCTCCCTTTGTTGAAATAGACTTATTTCATTGTTTTTTGGTAATTTTTACTGTACTTTTTTAAATTTAAATTTTCACTTTTTTGATCATCCTTGTATTTAAAGTATGGATTCTGAGAAGACAGTTTTTAAAAATTATTTTTTTATTTTAAAGATAATAAAATGCAACAAGACAAAACAGAATAAAGCCAATGAAAACAAAGCAGTGATATGATACACAACTTCAAAGCAGGATACTAGGAAAACAACAGTAGCTACCATAGTATATCTTGTTATCTTCACAATAGTTGTCCATCTTGTCGGACATAAAAAAATCAAACCAAAGCAAAACAGAATAAAACCAATCAAAATAGAACATTGAATAAAGCAAAGCAATTAATTGAAACAAAACAAAACAGTGGGAACAATATTGGACTTCAAAGACGAGATAGAAGGAAATCCCCTGTATTTGCTATATTGCATACTGTCATCCTTCCAATAGATGCTCAGACTGCTGGCTGCTTGTCCTCTGAACCAGCTGGTTATTTCTGGGAATGGGGGTGGGGTGGGGTTGATTCTAAGCCCACATGTTGGTAGGCTTACACAAGAGGCACTGATTTTTCTCTTTCTGGACCCTGCATAGCTTGCATGGTTTACCAGAAAGGCTGGCTAGTTGGATTGTAGAACTGGTTTTAAATCTAGGCTTTAATTACTCACTAGAAGACCTGGAGCAAGTTGCCCTAATGCCCTTCATCTTAGTGTTCTTATCTGTATATGGGGACGGTGAGAGTATTAGCTATTACTGTGGATACAATGAAAAATTATACAATGCATTTGACATGAAGCTAGCTCATAACCAACACTCAGTACCTGATAAGTATAGTATCATCATTATAGTAGTTTGACTAAGTAGTCTTACTTATTTTGTTCTTCTTTATCAGTATGAGAATTAAATATTGTCTTTTATTACCATGTGAGTGTTGCCTTCCTGCTGGAGAAATGCATCATGGTCCAAATATGAAAGAGTTAGCCATGGGACCAGTTTTGTCAATAGAATGTGAGAGGATGTCATGTGTGCCAGGTCTGAGCTGATGTTTTAACATGCTTCCCCAGTGAGGATGTCGTGTCACAGACAGGCTGGTCCATCAGCTGCCCCCTGAAACAAGAAGACACCGAAACAGAGCTGACTGGTAAGTAGCTGTTATGTGAACACATGAGAAAAAATTAGGTGTTGGTTGCTGTAAGCCAATGAGATTTGGTGATTGTTTTGGCAATGAAGGTGACTAATTATGGTGTCATCCTTTCATTGCAAGGAAGAATTGGAGAAAGATCTTTTGGAGGGAAAGATTCTTTAGTCAAGCCCTGAAGATGATAACAATGATATTTAGATATGGTAGGTAAAAAAATAGATATGGCAGGTAGAGGTGGGGAGTATTCTAGCTAGAGGAAAACCACAAATTTGGGGGAAAGTGTTACTCATTAGTGGAGTGGGTAATAAGTCTAGGGTGGCTAAAGAATGTGTCATACATCTGGAGCGGTAGTTAAGGGCCAGATCATTTAGGGCCTGGAAACAGTGATAAGAACATTTGTCCTAGAAGCAATGTAAGACCGTCTCTTGGTCTGTTGCTGCCTTTTAGAAAGATCACCTTGGCTGATCAGCAAAGGCTGGGTCAGAGGGCAAGAGGACCCTAGAGAAGGCAGGCAGGAGTCCAAGGAGAGGACAGAAATGGACGAGCATGGGAAGAGTTGGGAAAGACCTGGTGACCTCCCAGGTGAGAATGGAGGTGTAGGAGTCAACCGTGCGGTCCACGTGGGATTCGGTAGATGTGTTGATGGGGAGTGCGGAGGAGGAGCAGCTGAAGGGAGGCACACAAGGAGTGTGTTTTGGTCATTTGGTGCAGCTGGTGTCTGGAAATGCTCTTTCTCTTAGCATAGTAATGTGCCAGTTAAAATTTCCAGCATCCTTTGGAACTAAAGTACACATCAGACAAGTCCTGCCAGATGAGACCGGTTGGTCACTACTGGGGAGTCCAGGAAAAGCTTTGTTTTCAGATAGGCCCCCTAACTTCCTCTTGACTTCTGCTCCCTGAAGAGAAGCTTGTTCAGCGCAATCATGGGAAAAGCCGAGAACACTTCTGAGGCCTTGGGCTTGACATCTACGTGTTGCTCAAACATCAGCTGGGGAGAGAATAGCGATTTTGGAATCATGAGCATATGGGTGTCTCAAACTTCACATGGGTGAAAGACTTACAGTAAACAGGCTGAAGGGCCAAGGACAGAACCCTGAGCAGTAGCATCACAGAGTGATACAGATGCCATAGTCATATACTTTTTTAAAAATCCAAAACAAAGAACAATAGTAACAGAGCTAGTGTTTCCAATCACCATCACAAATCTTACTCTTCTAACTTGAGCCTTCGAAGTTACCACTGTTCTTACATTTGGCTTGTATTCCCTGCAAACATTTCCCTCGGGCCCATATTTTATGATCGTGTTTTTAATGCATAAGGTGTGTTATTCATATCATTTTGCAGCTTGCTCTTTCCAAGTTAACAACACACCTTAGAATCCTCCTTTTCAGTGCCACCTGGTCCTGCAGGGCAGTACGTATCCAGTTTAGGTCTGTGCTTGCTCCTTTATTGGTAAATGCTTTGTGTTTCTTATAAATGATGGAAGAGGGCGAGCAGACGAGCACGGTTCTATTCTAACAGACGCTATCCGTTGACCTCTGTGTGCATGTATTGATTTTCACTGCCACCAGCAGTGCAGACAGACTGCCTGTTTCTTCACATCTCACCACACCTGAGATTAGAGGAAGGAACATGTGGGACATCAGGTGAGTGAAGAGGGAGCCTTTTAAGTTAACGCTTTCCTGGTTATCAGCGAGGCTCAGTATTCCCAGTTTAGTACGTGTAAAAATGCTACAAACCGCTCATTTATATCCTCCGATTATTTTTCTGTTATGCTGTTCTTTTCTTATAAGCTTCTAGGAGTTCTTTATTTATTCTGGTTACTAGTTTTAATATATGAAAATATTTTCTCTTGGTTTCTTATAATTATTTAATGCTAGCTTATAATGCAGCATTTAGATTTATCTGTCTACGGTTTCTGCTTATAGGTTTCAAAATATTATATTTTTTTCCTAATTGGCTTATAGTTTTCTATTTTATAGTTAGGCATTTTTTTTCCACCTGGAAGTTATCTTTATTAGTATGAGACAGGAATTAGATCACTCCTCCTCCCTAGATAAAGATCCATGGCTCTCATACTATTTTTTGAATAATTAATCTTTCCTCTTACTTGAAAAACTACCTGTCATTTTTCAAATTCCCATATGTGTACTGTGATCATAACATCCGGTGTGTGTTTAAATTTTTAAAAAACTGCTAAGTAATAGAAACATTGCTGCTAGTTCCCCCTCAGAATGCTTCCCCTGGCTTTGAGCACACCCGTCTCATTGGTCTTGCCATTTTCTGAGGTAATTTGGGAAGTCCTTTTTGTGAATGTCTTTAGTTTCACTGTTGTGGCCAATGTCCTGAACTGATTCAAAATATTTACCTTTCGTAGTCATGCTGATTTTGGAGAAGACAGAAGTTCCCAGGTCCAGTGAATTAGGCGGGTGAGGAGCCACTACACTATCTTTGCAAACCTCCCTCTTCTGTTGAAGGGCACCTGCAGGCACCAGTGACAGCACTTTAAAAAAAAAATCACATCTCGCAGGCACTCATCCAGGAGGACCTCCAGAACTACAGGAATCAGCAAAGATGATGAGATAAGCCTGTTCCAAGTGAGGGGGACAATTTTGAGGGATATTAATAGCAAGGAGTCTTTTACTGTTATAAATTTTCTTTCAAATAATTTTAAAATATCATGTCATATTTTTGATTGCCCTTTGTACACAAAGGTCTTTTTCTGACTCTCTTCATTGACCACAGTGTCAGATAGGTCCTATTCCTCTTTGCAGATCCATCCTTTACCCTTCTTCAGCCTGTTGCTGCCCCAGGAAACTGAAATATACAGACCACGTTCTGGGCCCAGCACTTGGACCAGGCGGTGAAGGATCTCAGATGGAAGAGAACGGAGGAAGATGAAGCCGAGACGTTTGTTCTCTTGGATTTCTGCCTGCAGGGCTGCTTTAGGAGGCTGTGTGGCTCTGTTGAGGGTCACCTCTCTTCTCCAAGCGGCCCTCTTTTCCAACTACTTTCTAGAGTCTCTCCTTGCCCCTTTGGACTTCAGAGTGGTTGCTACTCTGTCTTATGGAATTTTTCCTCGTGATTTCCTTCTCCCCTGTTTAAATAGGCCCTGTATTAACCTTCACATACTAAACTGGGAATGCTCTTAATTCTTGCTGGAATCTCGATTGATGTAGCTGTAACAGAAATGGCCTCATCCAACCAGTAGACTTCAGTTTCTTGGTTGCCCAGGTAACAGTTCCTGTTCCAGATCCGGTTGCTCCTGTCTCTTAGAAATGGTTGCTCACTGTGACGCATAGCTGGTCACTATGATGCACACTGATTAAGCCAATCCCCAGTTGACAAGCCATTCTGGCTCTGTACTTCCTGCTTGCTTATCCTACTTGTGTAGGCCCTAGACCACCAGAGATCAGGGACCGATATTCTGGGAATGATCCCCATCAGTGCCCAGCAATGCAAATAAATCTGGCACCAAATCTTGGGTGTCAGTTCAGTGTTTCTGTTTGCTACTGCCTCATTGATTTTCACTGAGATTGTATTATATAGATTATTTTGGGGAGAAGTGAAACATACTACTGACTCTACCACCCACAAGCATGGTATGTTTCTTCATTTATTCATGTCTTTTAAATTTTTTTTCTTTTTTTTGGAGACAGGCTGACCTTGAACTCACTTGGACCATTGTCGATCCTCCTGCCTCAGCCTCCCAAGTGCTAGGATTACAGGTATGCACCACCATGCTGGGCACATGTCTTTTATTAAAAAAGTGACTTGCACAAGTTTTATGCTTTTTTTTCCTCAAAAAGTTTTGGTATATTTTGTTTGATTTATTTACAGGTAGCATACAGCCTGTGTTTCTATCATAAATAAGACCTATTTTAATTGGTAAATGCTTTGTAGAAGTTGTTGATTTGTATCTAGTGGTTTTATATTTGGTTATTTTGCTGAACTCTTAAATAAGTTCCAATAGTTTTCAGTCAAGCTTCTTCAGATTTCTAGGTAGACAATTTCATCTGTGGATAGACAGTTTTATACCTTTTCAATTTTTTTTGTAAACTTTATTTCTTCCTCTTGTATTTTTTTCCCCTTTTTTGGGCACTGGCTATGTTGAATAGTATTTGGTAGTAATAAATGTTAATATCTTGCATAACATTGACAGGCATCTGCCCCAAACTGAAGACCTTAGATTCTATTTTTAATTTGCTAACCATTTTAAGAATAATAAATTGCTGTTGGAATTGTAGAAAGCGCCTTTTCAATAATTTTGGGAATAATAGTATTGTACTATTGTAAAATAATGAGATACAATCTCAGTGTTGTTTTGAGGAATCCTGCCACTGGAAGGCAGAGGGAGGAAAATTATAATTTTGAGGCCAGCTGGGGCAACTTAACAAGACATTGTCTTAAACTAAAATTTACAAAGGTTTGAGGATGTAGCTCAGTATGAGAGCACTTGCCTGGGATGTAGGAAGCCCTGGGCTCAATCCTCACTACTGCTAGATAAGTAAACAAACCAGCAAACTACAAAGCTTCCAATAAAAATAGGTGTTTTAAACTTTATCTCTTTCACTTTCCTAAGCAACTATTTCCAATTCTTTTAGCTATTTATTTTGCATGTTTATCTCTATAGCTTTAACTGCATGTGTCTCCTACCACTGTTTAGTTTTGAAAAATTTCCCACACTGACTAGAAAGTAATACTCTTTATCTTACTTTCTAAAGCCTTTTCTTCTTTTCTGACATAATACATAAATATTTTTCTAACGAACTTTTGAATTAATTAGTATTTATATTTTTTAATTTGTATTTGACCAAAAAAGCATGTTATTATTTGTCTTCTTGTTATCTAGATCCTATGTGGCTATTGACTGGGGTTTTAGGTTCAAATTTTATGAAAATACCTTTTTTTCTAAACAGTCAATACTGATTTAGATCTAATATTACATTTTTCTGATTTCTTTCCTATTCTTAATGAACATTAAGTTTTCATTAAATATTGAATATATGAAATATTTATGAACATGCATATGTTACCAAATAAAAGTACAATGAGCATATAAATGCCCCAAATTCCCCATTAAGAAGCATTATTTTTGAAGTCTCTTCTCCAACTTTCGATGTTGTGTTCTTTTGATATATATTTTAATTTTTTTTTCCTTTTTGAGATAGTCTTACTATACAGGTCAGGCTGACTTGAACTTATGTAGCCCAGGTGCACCTCGAACTCATGGCTCTCCTCCCTCAGCCTCCAGAGTGCTGGGATTACAGGTATGTACTACTGCATCCAGCATGTTATATATTTTAAAATTAGTACAGTCCACTTTTTCCTTCGCTTGATTTTTCTAGTTGTTGTTCCTGTCATTTATTTTGCTTTTTAAAAATTGACATACTTATAAATATTTATGAAATATACCAATTTGATAAATGTGTACAATATATAATAATAAAAGCAGAGCAATTAGCATTTTCATCTGAAACATGTATTACTTTTATTTTTGGAACTTTAAAGTCTTCTAGTTATTTTGAAATATAACTGTAGGCTGTAGTTAGTCTACTGTGCTTTTGAATACTAAACTAATTCCTTGTATCCTTCTTGTATGCTCAAAGCATTCTCCATAATTTTGTGTTCATTATTTCCTTTATAGTTTTGCCACATACATTATAGTGATTACTTTTATCTATAAGCAATATAAGTTCTCCAGGTTTCCTTTTAAATATGAGAATAAAGAGTCATCCTTTATCATGTTTGCCTCAGACTATTCAGTTTTACAAGTTTTTATGTAAGTAAATTGCATAATCTGTATTCTGCAGTGACACCCGCCCATTCATTCATCACTTTGGTTTAGGGATTATCTGCATTTTGCTAAGTACCTTTAAGTCACCAGTGCCACAGCTGCAAATATCATCTCATGATTAAAAATCTTGGGAGATAGGGCTGATTAGTGATTAAAAGCATAGCACATAGGACTCTATGCATTTGTTTAAATCTTGGGTTCACCATTTATTATGTGACAATGGCAAGGTTTTTTTTATTTTCAGGAAAAAAAACATGAGAAATGATGAAAATTTCTAAACAAGATTAATAGGATAGTAATAATGGTTGATACATTGTGTGTTGTTATTTTCAAAGTAGTTGCTCAGATTGCAAGGTATAGGCGTGATAAATGGATCAGACACTATCAGCACAAATCTTTGTTTTCAATGAAATAATACAAATTAGTAGTATAAGTATGTATTATCTCATTGAAATATTTCCTTTTTCCTTTTTTCTTTTCTCCGTTCCCCATCCCAGTTTCTCCTTCCTCTCAGTTTCTCCCCAGTTCCCATTATCTCTCAGACCTTTTAGATCCTATTTACTCTTCCGCCTTCTTACACTAGGGCAATAACAGTGTTTACACATGTGAGTCTGATTTATGTCCTCATTGCATTTATCTGTAATATGAGCGTGATAACACTCTTGTCACCCGAGGAAGTGAGTGAGTTAAAAATGTAACTGTGGAAGTTCCTGGAGCGGTAGGTCCGTCTTAGCTGTGGTTTTTCTTTCTGTGGCTTCAGTTATGAACTTGCAGCCAGACAGAGTCTAAAAACACAAAATGGAAAATTCCAGAGTAGAATTCAGGGAGAAAAGTTTCATAGCATATTATAAGAAAGAACTTTGTACCTCAGGGATTTATAATTTGGGAAGAACTAACAAAGTTTCTCCTTTTCAAATATTGATGTGTGGGAGCCATTGGTAATCATTTCACCAAAGCATTTGTTTAAAATTTTACTCTATGTAGAGACAAAAATTATAGATCATTATCTTAAAGGATTCTTACACATTCTGTGGTTTTGAAGTTTGACTAGGAAGAACAAAATGTGCTTTTGCATAGCTAATTTTCTGCTGCTTCTTTGTGCTGTTAATTATAATGATTTATCATAGATATTGAAATTATGGAGTTTTCCTCTTCAAGTATCTGAAATGGGAGATTGATTTTGAGCATTTGGTTCATGCTCACATGATAGAATTAGGCCTTCTCATAGGCATTGCTAGCCTTTGAGTGCTGAATATTCTTCAGAGGTTGCAAGTTCAAAGCGTGAACCCAGGGTGGTGCTATTGTAGGAAGCCGAGCATTCGGGAGAGGCACATTGTGTGGCTTTTAGGCCATTATGGGAGTGTCCTTGAAGGGTCCCAGATCCCTCTTCTCTTTCTCTTTTGCTTCCTGGCCAAGGTGTCTGCATATTTTGCTTCACTACAGGCAAAACAATAGGGCCAGCTGATCATGGACTGCACCCTCCACAACTGTGACCCAGGATATACTTTCTCACTTTGCAAGTTGATTAGCTCAGATATTTCAGTACAAGGACAGAAAGCTGCCTAACAAAACTAAGGATATCTAGGAAAACACAGTGTATTTATAGGACTCGGTACTATCTAGGTTCAGATACCCAGTGGGGGTCTTGGAACATATCCCTTTGGGCAAGAGGGACTACTGTGTATTCTAAACACTATGTAAACTGTGCTATTATTACTGTAATACCATAATTATTACTACGATTTACTTTCCTTTTTCTGTCTCAGACAATGTCCCTATGAACATCTCGCACAGGCTGCCCGTCCCGTATGCATGTGCCAAGTCAGCTGTGGTGAACCTAGGGCACGTGTGTTATTTATTTTTTAAGGCCCAAGATGTTAATGAATGAGTTGTTTTTCTTCTAAACAAAACCCTCAGTATTCAGGTTTCATTGAAATATGGGTGTTTTGTGGTAAATAAGAGGGTTTGGGTTGTAGTGTAGGCTCTGGATTCTAAAGTGTTCGCCCTCACCGTGCTGAGTTGTAAGGGGTGAACATCTTCGGCTGCATGGTGTCAAGCTGCCTTTCAGGGTGGTCCGAATATCTGTAATGTAGAAGTGTTCTGTTTGGTCCACATCTTCATTGCCCTTGGAATTAACTCTGTGTATGACAAAGATGGCAATTTTTGGAATTTTTGCATGAAATCCACATATGCCACCTAGAAAAATTCAAGAAAGAAGAGATTGAAAACAAAAATTTTTTATTATGTTCCATTGTTACGGGTGTTCCATACACGGAACACTAGGCATGGGAGGGTGAAGAGAGTTTAAAAAGTTTGCCAACATGGTGGCAATGACACTGCATCGTGTTACGGTTTTTACCGTGTATGTGTGTGTGTGTGTGTGTGTGTGTGTGTGTGTGTGTGTGTGTGTGATTTGTTCATTAGCCACTTCATTTGATTTCTTCTGTGCTGTTATCTAGACAATGTTCTGTACATTTTCTCGCTGTATTTTTCTTATAAGTGCTCAGTTGTAGAAAGCATACTTAACATCCTGATATTTTGTCAGTTATATATATTATGAATTTAAAGCTTGCCTTTCACCTTCTTAATAAATAGTTTGAGGAATAAAAGTTATTCAGGTTTATGAAGTGTATTTATAACATTTGTCTCATAATTTTTATGTGTGTGTCCATTTTAAAAATCCTTTTGCTTGTGCTGAGAATATACAACCGTCTTCACACATCGTTCTCGGAGAGTTTGTCTTTCACTATCTACCTTTCATCTGTCAATTTTACTTGTGAAGGGAGGTTTGAGGCTTTATTTAATACATCTTCATGAATATTACAAATTGTGTAAACAATATCTATTGAAAAATTCAGCCTTCCCTCCTGATGTGCAGTAGTCTAAATCAATTATTTTTCTTATTGAGCTTGACAGCCTTTTTACTGTAACAATTTGTTTTTTAACTTTATTCTTATTAGTGTACATTTGTCGTACATATTGATCTCGTTCATCATAGGGAACTTGTACCTGTACATAACACATCTCAATGCTACTTTTTTTCCACCACTCTCCTCCTCTCCTTTAAACCTTCTCCTCCTCTTCTCCTCCTCTGCGTTTACACGAGCTTTGTTTCCAATTTTTCCTTCCGTTCTCCTTTTTCTCCCTTTTCTCTTTCCCCACCTCCCTTGTTTCCCTTCCTATTTGAACATATTTTTCCTTCTTCCCAGGATCTATCCTCCATTTTATTCCTTATTTACTCTTTGGGTTTCTCACACCAGAGAAACAACGCAATATTTAAACCTGTGTGTCTGATTTATTTCACTTAAGATTATGGTCTGAAGGTGCATCTTTTTCCCTACAAATGAATCAAATTTATATCTGAGTAGTACTCTGTATTTTCTTTACACATTCATTTTTTGATGGGCATATGGGCTGTTTCCAAGATTTAGCTGCTATATATTGTCTTTCAAATATATCAGTATGGTATGATGCTTTTAATTCTTTTGGGAAGATACCTAGAAAGGGACTAGCCAGTCAAATGGAGCCCTCTCATTTTAGTTTTTTGAGACACCTTCATCCTGATCTCCACAGTGGTTGCACCAGTCTACATTCCCACTAACAATGGAGAAGGGTTCCTTTTTCTCCACGATCCCACCAGCATTTGTTATTGGTTGATTTCTTGATGATAGCCATTCTATCTAGAATGAGATAGAATCTCAGCATTATTTAAATTTACCTCTCTTGAACGACCAGTAGTGTTGAGTAGTTTTTGTATATATTTATTTGCTGTTTCTATGTTTATCTTAAAATTGTCTATCTCAGATGCTCATTTTCTGATTGGTTCTTTAAAGTTGAAGGACCTGATTTTTTTTTTTTTTTGCATTCTTTGTATATTTTAGATGTTAACCCTTTGAGAAACAGCTGGAATTTATTTTTCCATTCTGTGGGTTGTCTCTTTGCTCTTTTGGTGATTTCTTTTACTGTCCAGAAGCTTTGTGATTTGATGAGATCCCAGTTGTTGGGTTCTTTGTGATATTTCCTATGCAATCAGGACTTTGTTCATAAGTCTTGCCTACATTTATGTCTTTAAGAGTTCTATCTATGTTATCTTCCTGCAGATTATTTCTGTTTTAATATGTTGATCTTTGACCCATTTCAATTTTAGTTTAGTGCATGGTGAGAGATATAATTCAATTTTTGGCGTGTGGAAAGCCAATTCTTCCATCACTGTTTATCAAAGAGTCTATCGTCCGTTCTTCCAGTGAAAGTGTTTGGCTCCTTTGTCAAAGATAGGTAACTGCATGTGCTTAAAGTTGTTTTTGCATCTTCTGTTCTGTTCCACTGATCCTCGAGTCTTTTTTTCCTCTACCATGCTGTACTACACGTAACATTTTAATTCATTGCATGTATTATAAGTTTTAATTTATCTGGATGTAGAGCAGTTCTTATTGCTATGATACTATTTGTCTTGAACCTGTTGTGGTTTTCTCT